ATTTATGTCTCCTCCTGTGAGCTTTCTGAAGGGCAGGAATCCGTGGTTTTGCAAGAGCCCCTATTTCGTGTTTTGTCACTCTTCCTAGGTGCTTTCGGAATTTATGCGGGCATAGGTGTGTGAGTGTGTGGCATGGGGGACAGGGGTAGGTGGATGAACAAACAGAGTATTTCAGGCTAGGTCCCTGGGAAGCCCTTCTGATAGTCCAAAACTAACCCTCTCCTCCTAGATAGTCAGGAGTCACAGGATTCCCTGCACCTTGACAACCTCGGTCACTTCGACATCCAGGCACAACTCCAGAATAGGCATACGGCAGGATGTAGTAATTCTTGACAGGGAAATGGTAAGGAGAGGACACAGCGGGTGTTGTTAACTAATCTAAGCCAGTGTGGCCAGTCAGTATTTCTTTCGTGGGTAAGGGGTGTGTTTTCATTCCCACCACCAAGTGGTAAATGACACTGAGAGCAAGTGGCGTGTCAAAGACTCCAGATATTCAAGATTTATTAGTTAGGTCTGCCCTCTGGCAATGACAAGGTTGCTGCTCTTTTGAACTGTCAGCAGTTATTGGCACAGATCGGATCATCGAGTGACTAAGCCCCTTGACCTCTGTCTTGGGGGGGGGTATTTAAAAAGCCCCATCCCGTCTCTGATTTATAGGAAAGGTCTTCCTTCTCTCCTATAAGTACTTACAAAGTAATGAGTTTCCTTATGACATTTTCATATCTATTTAGTTTTGTTTGGCCCCCCACCACCATCTCTTCTCTTCCTCTATCTCCCTCCTGAGTTAATGGGAGACAGAAACAGGAAGATTATACCTGGTAGGTTGAAAGTTCTGTTTGCCATTAGGACAGATAAAGAATTAAGTTCCTGTTTGTCCTGTGTTAAGTCCTTGCAAGTTAAGGTTTTCAATTGTAATTAAGAAGTTCCTGTTTGTCCAGTGTTAAACCCTAGTTAAAGAATAGGTTCTTGTTTGTCCTGTGTTAAATCCTTGCAAAAATAAGGCTTCTGTTTGTAATTAAAAAGAAGTTCCTGTTTCTAAGGACTGAAGTCAACTTCTTGCAACCCCGTTTCTCCCCTTCTCTCTGTATCCCTCTGACAATGTGTAACTACCAACCCTCTTCAGGCAGCCAGTGGGGGCTGCTCCCTCAAATCCTGACTTGGGGGGGGGGGAGGCAGCCAGCTGGCCAGTCCCGGGTGTATCCCAAAATACAATTTGCTTTAGTTGGACAGCTGTGGACTTGGTTTTTGTTTTTTCCTCCTCAAGAATCTCAGAAAGGAGGGGCAGAAAAGAATACAAGGGTCAGGGGAAGGAGGAGTGTGGCAGACCACCATCCTCAGTGGCTGTCACTGGTGGGGGACTCAAGAGGTTCCACTCCTTTCCGGGACATCTAGACAGTGTCTTCCTTAGGGTGTGTATTGCTATGACCAAAAGCAACTCATAGGGCGCTAGGAACCAGATTCTCTCCCATGAGAACTCCTCATTCCCCACCACCCCCACCCCAACATCCCAGCCCTCCTTGAGCAACTCAGCACCAGCAACCAAATGTGAAATGTATGCCCTTTTAAAAGTCATCACTGGCCTACTCTTCTCTTGCCTCCATTAGAGGTGGCCTTCGCTCCCCGCCCCCAATAAATCGCTTGAATGATCTGTTGCACGGTGTGATTTCTGCAGCATCCTTTGGCCCCAATGGTCAAGGTATTTCTCAGCCACTAAACCCTGACGTAGGGAAAGGGTTTATCGGCTGACAAATCATGAGGGGAAGCCAGGGCAGGAACCCAGAGGCAGAGACTGAAGCGGGGGCCTGGGAGAAACACTGCTTACTTACTGGCTTGCTTCTCCTACCACGTGACCTGCCTAGGAGCCGCACCATCCACGGTGGGCTGGGCCCTCCCATACAGAACTGCGACAAGACAATACTCCCACCGGCTTAACCGTAGCCTCGTCACGTGGAGGCTGTCTCAGTCGAGGTTCCCTTCTCTCGGGTGACCCTAGCAGGTAACAAACTGACCAGAAACTAGACACGGGCAGCTGATGGTCGCTGGCTTGGAGGACACCCACATACCGGAAGGTGGATAAGCGGTTCATGATTGCTGAGGCATTTTCTTCAGGAATTTACCCCTGCAAATTACCCATACGCCTATAAGCTTATAAATAACCCCTCACTAAAGCTCCTATAAGTAATCCTGATTAAACTCATTGGTTTACCAAGCTAGGTTTCCAACCTGAGGCAAATGGCTGAGGTGCCTGTTTAACATATCAAAGAGGACACTGCTGTCCAGATCCTCCCTACATTCCCTGCTACAGGGCCCTTCTGGCTGGCATATCCCAACCCAACCCTGAACTTTACAGACCTTCCCTATATAATCCAGCTGTTTTGGTTACCCACTCTTTTTGTACCTCTGGGCTTTGTGGCTGCTGCCCTGGGTTCCCCTGCTTCCCTCTCTCTCTCTCTCTCTCTCTCTCTCTCTCTCTCTCTCTCTCTCTCTCTCTCCTTCTCTCTCCATGGCCCAGATCAGGGTCATGTACACTTTGGACTCTCCCAGAGGTCCCTGCCTCTGACTGTACTCTCTCATGTATCTACGATAAACCTCCTCCACCTAGGAGCAGCCGTGTTTCCTTTCTTTCCTTTTTCTCTTTTTCTTTCTTTCTTTCTTTCTTTCTTCTTCTTCCTCTTCTTCCTCCTCCTTCCTCCTCCTCCTCCTTCCTCCTCCTCCTCCTCTTCCTCCTCCTCCTCCTCCTTCTTTTCCATTCACAAACCAAGCTAGACTCAGGTGGAGTTATTTCTTTGGTCTGCCATTGGTGACTTCTCCAGGGTGAATAGATATTTGTCTCCCACAAAAGTTTGCACAACAGTCATGCAACCTGTTGTTCTAGTTTGGGGTGGGGGTGGTGGGGGGTTCACTGTGCTCTGCAATGGGAGAGTTACTCGAAGGTTGATGTACTATTCCGATGACAGGTCCAGCTCCCCCAGCTGGACAAGGCAGTGCCCAGTGCTCAGGCATGACTGTAGAGACAGGATCAAGT